ATGTATTGTTTTATTTAATCCTGAAAACAATCTTGTGATTATAAATTTTTTTGTTTTATAATAATGTGCCCAAAGGAATAGGAGTTTATAAACCCAAGAGCTGCCCATGGAAGAAGCATTATTGGAGTCATCAGGAAACAGGGCATTCCGTAAATTAGACCAAAACAATAGGAGGATGGATATTAGGGACATTAGAAGGGACATATCATGCTAACATCAAAATGGAAAAATCATCTACTTCACAGTTGTGTTGAGAGTCTCCTTGTTAATATCATTCATAATCAGAGAGCACTGATTTTTTTTTTTTTTAAGAGAGAGGGTCTCACTGTCACCCAAGCTGCAGTGTAGTGGTGTAATCCTAGCTCACTGCAGCCTTGAACTCCTGAGTTCAAGTGATCTTCTCTCACCTCAGCCTTCCAAGAAGCAAGGACTACAGGCATGCACCACTACACCTGACTAATTTTTTTTATTTTTTGTAGAGACTGAGTCTCACTGTGTTACTGAGGCTGGTCTTGAACTCCTGGTTTCAAGTGATCCTCCCGCCTTGGCCTCCCAAAGTGCTGGGATTACAGGCGTGAGCCACCACATCTGACCTCAGAGAGGGCTGATTTTTGAATCAGCCATTCTAAAACAGTGGACCTAGAAAGAAGAAATCTTCTACCAGTAGCCTTCTTTCTAGATACCAATCCAACAGGCCAGAAGAAATTTGGGGTCTCATAATCTGATACCAGTATTTTCTCCTCAGTAGTGAAAAGAGTTGAATTAATGCATTCACTCTAAGCTTGTTTTGGGGGAATGATGAGGTAATAGTTAAAGAGAGTAGACAAAGGTTAAAGTAATAAGAAATGCTGAACTTCCAAAAAAGCTGGCCTTAATATTCTCCATCAACTGGCAGTGTTCCCAGTGATGCTTCTATCACAGACTGTGATAGAACTGGCATACATAATAATCCTTTCTTCTTCAATAATATAGTAAGACATCACATCCATATATTTCCCAAATAGGACTGCCACTGCCTATCTAGTTAAGGAGTTATCATTCTACTGTTTCTCTTGAGAAATGACACTAAGGCAAAACACTTTTGTTTTTAAGGGGTTCTATTGGCCACTTAAAATACCCTTGATATATGACCAGAAGTCATTGAATTAACTAAAAACAAATAGTTGTGAATTACATAGAGGGCTTCTCTCAGCCACATGCTTCTCATAGATAATGTAATAAAGATCATTGATAAATAATAAAAATTTGCATTTCTCACATGGGAGAGGTCCCATAATACAGCTCATTCGAACACTGAGGGAGTGGTGCCCTCTAGCAGTGCATGTGAGAAATATTATCATATAAGTATATTAAATATAGCAAATAAGGATCTCCCACTATCTCAGCTACTCTCAGACATAAGGGGTAATTTGACAGTTGGTTTTGTCTTTTCCAAGCTACTGGAAACCTACTGAAGTTTCCCTTCCATGTGCACTAATTTTTTAAGTGCCAGCAAAGGTTAGATTCTAATAGTGCCCTTTTGGGGACTTTACCAATAACTTTTAAAATGTCATTATCTGTGAATGTCACATAAAACAGGTCCCTTTCTCTTTTCTTTCAGACCTGCCTTAGATCAGTGTTTGGGGATGAGAATAAAGGGTACAAATAGGAAAAAACATCATCCTACAAGCTGAACAGCATCTCAGGTGCAAAAGATGGTCACAAAATGGGAGAATGTTAAGAAATCGATTAATGGCTCAAGTATTCAAAAACTGATGAGGTTCTGACTCTTTTCCCTTAAAAGCACTGCAGTTTATGGTTACAACTGATAGATTTGCAGGGTTCGATAACTTCAGAAGCTAATTAAGTAAACTGAGTAAACAAAAGAAAAGAACTTGATTTTTTTTTTTTTTTTTTTTTTTTTTGAGATGGAGTCTAGCTCTGTCCCACAGGCTGGAGCGCAGTGGCATGATCTTGGCTTACTGCAACCTCCGCCTCCCAGGTTCAAGTGATTCTCATGCCTCAGCCTCCCCATTAGCTGGGAGTACAGACGTACAACACCACGCCTGGCTAATTTTTGTATTTTTACTAGAGACGGGGTTTCACCATGTTGGCCAGGCTGGTCTCGAACTCCTGACCTCGTGATCTGCCCACATCACCCTCCCAAAGTGCTGGGATTACAGACATGAGCCATCCTGCCTGGCCTTGAATTTTTAATTCCATTGTAATTAGTAAAAGAAGTTCGAGCCAGTCTTATCTCTAAGATATTCAAAAGATTATATGGCACACAAATAGTACATTACAAATGCTTTTGAAACTGAAAGGTGTGGTTTCTGGTTTCTGTCTATCTGATAAATCCTGTAAAAGCAAAATATAGTTTTTTGACAAATATGCCCATGTGTTGTGCACAGTTTGATTTATGTAAACTCATTTCAAATGCTACTGCAGAATTCCTCCTGAATGGATGAAAAATGTCTGCCTAAAGTGATAAAAATATATGTGTGTAGAAAGATATAGTTTTAAGAAGGGATTTTTATGAGATACAGATTTGTAACTCAATTTCCTTTAAATATTCCTTTAAAATATTCTTAAAAAAAAAAAAACTTCAAGAATACCTGACTGTTTTTTTGTTTGTTTGTTTGTTTGCTTTTTACATTTTTGTGTCAGTTCAGGGGTTTGCATTGAGTTTGCTCTGCTGAAACACTTTTCTGTGACTTAGCTTATGTGGGATTGGTAAGTAGGGGAGTGATGTCAGTGTAACATAGACCCTGGATTTGTTCAGGTATTTTACTAAGTAGCAGCAACGCAACACAAAGCCCACAAACACAGATTAACACAGCTAGCTAAGGGAAAATACCTACTGCACGTGATTCCCATTCATGCCACATTCTTCCTCTTGGCACAGTGTGGCCACGTACTCTTACATGGCAGTGCTTATTGCGTAATTTTCAGTCTTTCTATTTGCACTTATTCCATAGCTTAGCAATCTCAACTCTTCTTTCTTCCATCAAGCCACCTTCTCATGCATGTGCACACACACATACACACACTGCATTTTTTGTAGTAGTTATGATGAATTTAACTTATCTTTTAAATCATGTTTATATTTAATTATGCTTGATAATTACTAGGATGGTTATTGTTTTTGCAGTGTTCTCGTTACATAAATATTGAGTAGGTATGTCCTGACCCTGTCTTTTTCATAAACCCTACAATTTTTATTACATGATTTTGCAGACCACACAAGAAATACATTTATCTTATTGCAGCAAAAACATTTGTACATCTGTACTTGCCCTCTACTTATTAATTGCAATTATTATCTTTGAATTACTCCCAGAATTATAGACTTCCCCCTTAAATCTGAGGTAAACAGATTGAGATATCAATTGCCTACAAGATTCATTTTTAAAAGTTTACCTTCCCGTGAGAATACCAGCCCCAGGTGTACATTGCATGGCCCCGTTAAAAAGTAACCTTTCCATCTTTATTTGTTTCTGGGCAGTTACCGAAAGTATTTCCACAACAAAAGAATGTAATCAAGATTTAATTTGCTTCCACTGAAGTTTATTTTCATTTTTAAAAATCATTAGCCTATGATTTAGGAATTTTTAAGAAATTGGCCCTCATTACCCCCCAAGCCCCCGCATTCACCTAACACACGCTCCCAGTCCTCCTTTAAGTAATTTGTGGTTTATATTTAAATTTTACATTCAACATGGTCTTAAGTATTAAATTCCACCAGGTCAGACTGCAGTGAGTCAGGGTTTTAAAATATGGTAAGATTCCAAGAATGAAACCTTCCATTCTAAAATCTCTTCTTACACATTAATTCAATTAACTCAGAAGAAAATAGATATTTTCCAGGAAAAAATGTCTTTTATTTTACTTTTGTGAGAATACAAATACGTGTCTTTTGTTTTAGGAAAGAAATAATTCTCTAATAGTATTTCCATATAACTATGTTACTGGTGTTAGCATGAGTGAATTTTTTAGAACACTAGTGGTAAGCATATAATAGAGCTTTCTCAATACCTACACTCCAAAAGCAAGTCACAGCTTCTCCTAAATGAGCCAAGTACTTGCAGTGAAAAGCTAAACAAAGCCTTGTTTTTAAGGAGAAGCTTACAGAAGGTGACAATATAGAGAGTTCAGCATGTTCTCTAATGGAGATATATATGAACAGAGTACCATGGGACAAAGCAGAGGTGGTGACCATATCAGAGAGGGAATGCTTTAACCTACACAATTAAAAATATATATTCTTATGGAGTTCCTAATTTTGTTTCTTTCTCTTTCAATTTTCTGAAATTTTAAAATGTTTATTCACTTGAACATACAATAATTTTCTTTAAAAGAATCCCTCCACAGGGAGATGAGAATATTCTGTGTCTTGATCTTCATGGTGGTGTATATCAGATTCATCAAACTGTACACACACAAATGGTACACTGTACCAAATACAAATTATACCTCAAAGTTTAATAAATCCATCAAAACATACAGTGCTCCATACTTTAAAAAAATTAGCTTCCTCCCTTTGATGATGAAGGTGGCAATAAGTGTATTAGAGAAAGAAAAAGATGTCAGGCGCTGTGGCTCATGCCTGTAATCCCAGCACTTTGGGAGGCCAAGGCAGGTGGATCATGAGGTCAAGAGATCAAGACCATCCTGGCCAACATAGTGAAAGCCCATCTCTACTAAAATACAAAAATTAGCTGGGCATGGTGGTGCATGCGTGTAGTCCCAGCTCCTCGGGAGGCTAAGGCAGGAGAATCACTTGAACCCAGAGGTGGAGGTTGCAGTGAGCCGAGATCGCACCACTGCACTCCAGCCTGGCGACAGAGCAAGATTCCATCTGAAAGAAAGAAAGGGCGGGGGGAGAGAGAGAGAGAGAGAGAGAGAAAGGGGGGGAAGGAAGGAAGGGAGGAAGGGAGGGAGGGAGGGAGGGAGGGAGGGAGGGAGGGATTATCTCATGGAAGGCTGTCTTGCATAATAATTATTTTTTCACTGTCTTTCAGCTGTAGGTCCAGATTTTTCAAGAACACTCCTGAAAAGAATCACTCTTGTCAAAGTGGGAGGCGAAGTTGTCATTGAGTGTAAGCCAAAAGCATCTCCAAAACCTGTTTACACCTGGAAGAAAGGAAGGGACATATTAAAAGAAAATGAAAGGTACTGTCTTGAATTATTTTCAATATTTGGTTAACCTGTAATAATTTGTTGGTCTGTTATTAATAATTCTAAGGGGAAGGTGGGGTGACTATCTGCTATTCCTGGACTAAGTGTTAAAAAAAAGAACAGAAGCTTTGGATGAGTGGTACGTTATTGATCTTTATAGTCCTTCTGGATTTGGGAATTCTACAAAGCACTCCCTGCAGAGACAGATCACATGATCCCTGCTGAAGACTGCCAGAGCTGCCTGAAGATGAACAGTCAGAAACATCCTCCTTAATTTTAGCCTGAAATTTTTGTCCCCACCTTTCCCCATCCTAAGTCCTTTGGCATATGTAAATAAGCCCAGGTCTTAATTGCTATGACAACCCTTCAATTATATGGCAGTGGCTATTATGTCTCCTGTTAGTTTCTCCTTTTTTGAGGCTATCTCTAATTTCAAAACTCATTCTTCATGCAGCAGATTATTATGCTTGATTTTTATTTTAGTTACATCTTTTTGAGACAACAGGTTCTTTATCTTTCTAATATCTAAACTCTTCATCTGTATATTTCTTATACATGAATTACATTTAGCATGCATGTAGTATATACAATGCAAATATATAGGAGTTATTTGAGGTTTTACATTAGCTTGCATGAAATGGCAGGTGTCTGTAAGACCTTTTCTTGGCTGTCACCCCTGTAAAATATCCCCTACCTTTTTCTGTAATCTACTTAATCTATTGCAAAATGGTAATTATGCGTGGATCTGTTTGTCACCTATAAAATAGGATTTGCCAGCTATATATATATTGATTTTAATTAATGCTAAAGGTCAAGTACTCAAGGATGCAAGAAGGAAGCCTATAAAACTGTGTGTGTATCTACCCTTTACACCTGTACACCTTTGGATTTGCATATACAAATTAGATCTGATGATGACAGTGTTGTCCATTTTAATGGTTTTTGTAAACAAACCTGGTATGGTTTATAAATGGTGTATTCATACATATATTATTTTTTAATGCTTGCTATGGACTAGGGAGTAACACATGTATTAAATTCATAGTATGCATCCCTTTCTGATTTCTAGTATATCAAGAAAGCAATGTAGTTCATTGAATGTTGACATGGCATTCAAATTTGTAGCCAAACCTGAAAATCGATAGCATAATTGCTTATTTTGCAATCTTCAACTTGAGATTCATTTTCTATTTTATTTAATTCAGTGTTCCTTAAAATGTGACACATGAGATTACTTTTAATAGTTATGTACTTACTTTTAATAGAGTTGAAATATAACTAGTATGTACCACATGTATTTCTCAGAATAAGGCTACACTTTAAAAGTTTTAATTTTAAAATGACACTAAGACAATAATAATATGAGTATTAGACATGTCACAAATCATGAAGGAATAAAGTTATAATAACGTTGTAGGTCAATCAGGAGAAGCTAAGCTATGCTACTGTAACAAGCAACCCCGAGTTTCTGGCTTATAACAACAAAAGGCAATTTCTTTCTAATGTGGTTTGGTGGTAGCTCTCCTCCTCTCCAAGGCCAGGCTGGTGGACCAAGATGCTCTGGAACATTGCCATTGCAGAAGGAAAAGAGCCAAACATGCATGGGTTCTTAAAGCCTCAACTTAGAAGTGCAGCACTGCACTTTCACTCACGTTTCATTGGCCAAAACAAGTCACATGTTCCTGCAACCCAGCATTGAAATATAATCTTACTATGTGCCTGGAAGAAAAGAGACAACCTAATATTTTGAACCGTATTAATGACTGCTTTCCGTTGCTACAGCTTAACCATTGTTACAAGCTAATTAAATTACCTTTGGGGAAATAGTATTCCAGTATCAAGAATTCTATATAAGTGAATTTAATTGATTGTTTCCACCACTTGACTTACCACAAAGCTTGTCTTTATCCAGTTTTCATTCTATCTATTCCTGACTTGACTAATATGGTCCAAATATGCTTCCACATTTATTTTGCACTAAAATATATATATTTAAACTGAGGAAACTCCCCATCATTACCTAATTACTGCTATATATCGCCTCCACCTTCACTGGGACCAGGCTAGTCCCAGACTGTCAATATTAGCACTTACTCTCCACATGAGTGCTGTGTTCTCACAGTTCTGATCCTCCTTCCCACCTCACTCAGAATGTATTAACCAGATATGATGAATTTTGTTAATGCAAATGCATTAAAAAACTGGCCAGGTGTAGCATATAGGGGAATGCTGGGGACTTCAGTGTGTGCCCCATCCAAGGGAGACACCTGCCGCTCAGCCATATAGAGACACAGGTCAGGTACCTCCTCATCTTCTTGTTCTTCAAAAGAAACTAGAAATCTAGACGTTTGTTTGAGCTTCCAACTTTTAAATGTCAGCAACTAATTTTTATTTGATGGATGTACAATACAAACTGTGCTTATAGACCAAGTTTACTTCATGAGCCACTGGTTTTTAACTTCGGAGAAAAACACAGCAAGTGGAACATTTCTTAATTTCTAAAATGGGTGAACAATGAGAAAGATTCTATGATTGTTTTCTCATTGGCAGAGAAGAGATTCTGCCATTTTTCTCATTTCTTTCCAATAGAGAAGAGGGAAAATGAAGTGGATGAGTGAGCAAAAGCAATTGTAGATGAAACTGATGAGTAAAAAATTTTAGAACCCCTATTTTAGGAAAGGATTGACCTGGTAGACCAACATGAAGTACAAAATTCTTTGACTATACAGCATTGAGTAATAATTTCTAATGCACTGCCTCATTAGCCTTAATTCTCTTTTGAGATCTAGAATCTTAGGAATCACAAGGCAAGTCTTTAACCTTTGATTAAAAAGATTATTAATCCCTTAAGTAAAAAATACTGGCATAACACAGTGAAACAACACTTTATGATCAAGCACCCTTTTATTAATGTTCTGCCTAGATTCTATGTTTTGAAAGACTTTGCTAAACTCTTACTTATTGACATTTAATTTCAATTTTAATTAATCAACTGCCTACAAGTGAGTTTACAGTAGTGGTATTAGAAGCAACATTTTAAAAATTAAAGAGGTTTTGTCTCATCTAACCTTATGGTGATATTGTAGTTAGCTAAGTGGATATAGATTCAGAAACACTGGTTTAACGTTAACATGTTCGTTATCTTAAAAATGTGTTTCAAATATTCAAATGTGTTCTTGTTTCGGCTTCCCATTCTTTTGGAAATATGCAGCATATTCACACTAGCCTTATCTATGTTAATCCAAGCATCTAAACGAAAGATTGAAAATTCAAGTAATTTTATGGCATTCTTCTTGGGTAGGCAGAATATCCGTAAATGTAAAACATTTCTTATTGTCTTGTATATGTCTCCAGCAATCAGTGTAGGCGATATCAGGCATTTAAAACAGGGAAGACCTGTCACACAGCTCAAGAGCTTTAGTCCTCAGGAGAGATCTCTAGTCACCATGAATGCAGTTGGAATCATTTGGATGAATTGAGGAATTAAGCCTACTAATTGAATAAGGTTGATTATTTTATTTTCTTTTAGTTTTTAGATGGAGGGTACTTTGAGGACAGGTAAGACTGAAGTTGACCTATTAAAAACAAAAACATTAAAATACAGAAATAGTAGAATCATTAATAAAAAACCTAGAATCCTAGAATTATAAGGAGCTATACAATCATTGTATCAACCAGGGTAGATGCTTATGGTTGCAAGTAAGAGAAACACAACTCAAAACTGGCTTAAGGACAAAAGAGAATTCATTGGCTCATGTATTTGAGAAGATCCAGGATGAATTGCAGCTTCAGGTATAACAGGGCTCAGGTGCTCACACAGTATCATCAGGACTCTGTCTCGCTGTCTTCCTGTCTTACCTGCACCTTTGGCCGTGTTGGCTTCTTTTCCAAAAGGCTCTCCTCTCCTGCTAGTAGGGTGACTACTGGAGCCACGTACTCACCCTCTTTTCCAATGTATCTCAAGAGTTCCTGAATAGAATCAAATAAGCTTGCTTTGGTCAGTGTCCTTCTCTGGACCAGTCACACTCAAGGAGGATCCGATCCACTGATCAGGCAGACGTGAGTCATGTGCTTGTCCTAAGAGCCACATGGGAAGGCCTGCCTCAAGCCATGTGGACTGAGAATGGGACAGGAGTTTTCCCAAAGAAATCAAGCTGCTATCACCAGAAGAAGAGGGAATGGATGCTGCACAGATGCTGATGCCAAATTCCCACTGTAATCACAGAACCCATCTTCCATGCCAGGGCAGGGATCCCCACAATGGCTGGGCCACATCCTTCCCTGGTTACTAATAATGATGGAGACCTTGCTAATTGTTAGAAGATTATGTCCTTGCAACTTCCACTCATTTTTGGCTTCACTTTATGGAATTTTACAGACAAATTATTCTCCACCACCTCTCACTTCCCTTTCTATAGTGGGAGGCTACCCTATGTTTTCTTTCAATTCTTTTCTAAGCCCAAATGTCCCCCTTGTATCGGATTTCTTCAGACAGCATTGTTTGGCATCCTCTCACTATTTTGGTCATTTCCAAGCAGTTTTAATAAGGGGAAAAAAGTAGCTTTATTTATCTCCACAGAAAAGGATGATGATTATTACTGTTATACTAAAGAGAAAAAATGATCTTCAGTGAGTTTGGATTAAGGCAAGCAAGTGAATGATATATCATAGAAAGACCACTCCCTACCAATGTTTATTTTTAAAAATTAATGTAGTGCTTAGACAAGAAAGTTTAGTTGTCTGGAAAACCCACTGAGACAAAATATTTTAGTTTTCACCAAAGCCAAATAAATGAGTAAACTGTTACTCTTGTTAATGTTGTGTAAATAAAGGCTTCTTATTCTTATGCTTAAGAATTTCCCTCCATGCTTTTAAATATTAGACTAATACATTATGTCAAGCATATGGATAGTAAGCAGATATAGGTATGCCACTGAATTTTTCCAAAAAGAATCTCAGACCTACAGCCTGCATGTTGCAGGCATGGGTTTAGA